ACCACACTGAATTTTACTCAGTGGTGTTTGCCCTGTCAGATAAGTGTTTTAATATTGTACATGCTCTGTTTTCAGTTACCCATCGAGTGCTGAAAAGCTTGTTTTTGTCACTACTTTCACATCTTTGCAGGGTCGGATTAAAGGAAAAGGAGATGGATTTGTAAGTAATATGTAATTAATGTCAAAAACAGCCAAATGTGTTTTTTTTACTCTGAAAGAACATTTTGGTTGTTGCATTCCTTGACTGTTGTCAGTTGGCCTTTACATTTCTCTTGATAAACTAACTTACAGTTTACTACATCATCTGACTCTTTGGTAGATAATAGAAATTAATTAAAAGGTATATTGTTGAGATCAATACTTGATCTCAGGCATAGGTCGTGGATATCGAAGGGGACTTCTACAATCTTTGAGTACCCATGCTTCTTGAATATGCCAAGTGTGGTAGGTCTCATTGCAGTTCAGTCTTTACTTATTTTCTTCCGTTACTTAAAGGGATAGTTCAACCAAAAATGAAAATTCTGTCATCATTTACTCCCCTTCATGTTGTTCCAAACCTTTACTTATTTTCTTCCTTTACTTAAAGGGATAGTTCAACCAAAAATTAAAATTCTGTCATTTACTTCCCTTCATGTTGTTCCAAACCTGTACGAGTTTTTCTTCTGCTGAACACAAAAGAAGATATTCTAAAGAATGTTGCTAATCACAGCAGAAGAAAGAAACTCATACAGGTTTGGAACATCATGAGGGGGGGTAACAACAACAGTAACAATAACATCATTTTCATTTTCGGGTGAAATATCCCTTTAAGATATTTTAACAGACAATGCAAAAGTTCTGATATTGTTAGTAATACTGTTTTTTATATATATGTATATATGTATATATATATATATATATATATATATATATATGTGTTGATCTCTGACTGTTTAGGTTTCTTTAGTGCATATCTATAGAGCCGCTGTGAATAATCACAATGGTACACAAAGTCTTAAAGAAAAAAAATAACACTCTCTTCACTCTTATTAACTTATTTAACATTAAAAACACATGTATTTAATGTAAAATGAGAAGGGCTTAGCCTTAAAATTATTTGCCATCCTGTGCAGCTGGCTTGTCAGTATTGTGGTATTGCAATATTGTGGTTATCACAACAACCCTACTTAGGCTGCTCTTAATCCTGCACTTAAACATTTATTGTATCTCTAATCTGTTTTCATTCATTTTCAGATGAAAAGTGCTACCTAATGCTGGTTGTTCTGGCATTTCTTCTGCCACCGTTGCCTGGAAGTCGCTGCAGTGTTAAATAGGAAATTTCATTCCTTCAATTTCCCTTTGTAACGGTATGTTTTACATGGACAGTTATTCTTTTAATGATGTCTTGATGCTTTCTAAACTCCTGAAATGTATTTGTTTTTTCCCCTTAACTCTAAGCCTGGAGCCATATTGCATCCCTCTGCAGCAGTTTTGAGACCGCATCAAAGACCAGACCACAGCCAATCTACATTGAGAGTTTGAAGAGCACAACATGACAATACATCATTGCGACGATTGACGAAATGACCATTTCTGTAGATGAGGGCCTGACGTCCTATGGACAAGATATTCGGCATTTGTGTCATCTAATCTAAATTAAATTTATGAAATTGAGATTTAGAACATTTTGTTGTGCCTCTGCATGCATTGATCCCTGACAACATTTGACTAATTAAATTGCTAACATTTTTACATCTGTCTGTTTTATTTCAATTTTGTAGAATTACAAATTGGTGGTAATGCTTATTATTTTTTGTCATATTAACATTAATTAGCAGTTTCTGATAATTTTCGGTTACACATAATGTGTTTAAATGACACATTAAATGTGTTAAATTACATTACACAGTAGATGTGTGATCCATCTTAACACAAATTGTGTTAAATTTGACACATGTCCCTGAGCACACTCACCACGTGTTAAAATTCTGCACAACATGTGTCATTTAATACATCTCTTTTTGCAGTGTACAGTATATGGTGACTGCAAACGTGTGTAATTTGTCTGCTTCTTGCAGAGGAAAGCCAGCAGTTTCCATTCTGTCTTGTTTTATTATTAGTTTTTATTTATTTCATTTTTATTTTCTGTTTAAATTTGATGAGGCTATTTATTTTATCGTACAAACCCCTGAAAACTGCCATGCTGGCAGCACAGTAGCAAGCCTTTAGCTGCCCAAAAGATGTGTCAACTAACACACCAGCACATATTGTAGTGAAACCTGGTACGTGTCACATCCCCAAGTTTACATAGACGGATAGAACTAATAAACACAATCATATAATTTCACTAATTTTGAAACACTTTTGAACACATAAGCTAGTGAGAGTTGGCAATTTTATGGCACTATAAAAGAAAAAAACATGAAAGTGGCTATAACTGCAGAAACTGCTGGTCCAATTAACCCAAAATTGGCCTGCAGTGTCTTTGTCTGGGTTGCCATTACAATCATGAAAAGCATGGCTGCCATTGTCCAGTCACAAGACCAATCAGAAAAATGTAGCCACAAGGTGGCGCTGTCAATGGTGTCATATAATGCAGCTTTTTCACAGGAACTAAAGGCCTGAATTATTCAATTGTTCAGTATATTAATCAAGGGTTGTTTTTTCCCCCACAGTATGCTTGGTGTTATAAGTGGTGCATGCAACCATATTTCTTTATTACTATTTTAACACTTCAGTTCAGAATAATAATAAAGTACATAAGAGAATGATGCTGAGACTAAAAACAATGTTCTATCCCATGTGTTCCCATGTATTTTGGAAGCTTACTGACAGCTCTTTACATTGTATCAGCTGATCAGTCATGCAGGCTGAAATCGACGAATTGTGTACCTGTGATAGGAACACCATTGATGCTCCACGTGACATTTGGGGTGGGTATCCCTTCAGCCTGACAGTCCAGTCTCACAGTCTCTCCTGGGGCATACAGGTGGTCTTCAGGCCACTTGTTCCAGTAAGGAGCAGCTGCGATCCATAAAAACAACAGAAACGATATAAACTATAATAAAAGTAAAATATAATATCATATATTATATTGTATACTGTGACATCTGGCACAGAAAGTGTCAGGACAGAAAAAAAACATTAATTAACAGAAGAGATATTCCTGTGACCCTACAGAGGTTTGGAGAGCGAATGAATGGATGGAAGAGATGTCTAGTAAGGATGTCATGCAAGTGTCTAGATAAACTGTAAAAGTGCCGCTGTTTGCGTAGTTTATTCTGTAGTAACAATCTGTAACAATAAGTTACAAATAAAGGTTACTCGTGCTCTTTAAATTAATGAATGAGTGTAGGTAAATGTGTCTACATGCACATGCGTCAGATTAGCTGCTACATTTGCCAAAATGAGCAATATCCAACAGACCACACTTCATTACAGCAAAACTTATTATAGTAATTACAATAACTGGGCAATAATAACTAGGTACTAGCCCTGAACCTACCCTACTCCTAAACCTAACCTTAACTCATGTAGTTACCATAGGTAAGTGCACTGTAAGTGCACATACTGTAAAACAGAGTGCAACCCATTTTGTTATCAAATCTGACCAAGAGCAGTGTGTGTGGTTCCACTTTAAGGTGTTGTTGCTGCACAGATAAGTTTTGAGCAATATTAATAACACCATGTACATATTTTTCAGCGTGGAAGTGATTTTGTGTAAGAATTTCATTAGCCGCTATAGGCAGGTAAAGTGCAGTAAACGGTAAATATATATGAGCTACAAACCAGTGTGTTCATGATTAGGATGATACATTAATATAATACGATAACAAATACCAGTTTTCAGCATAACTGACTGTTTTTGTACCGGAAGCCTTACATTCCAAAGTTACAAAAGATCGCACCTGCTCTTACAATAAAAATAAGGTAGACAGGGTTAGGCTTTGGATTAGGGTTAGCTGCTTGCTGCTGTTCTTACTATAGGAAGCCCATGTAACGTGTGTAAGGAGTGTTTCCGTCTGTGTCTCACCCTCCACTGTGACAGCGTAGTGGTGTTTAACAGAGCCCTGGCTGTTCCGGGCAATGCACGTGTACTCGCCATCATCCACCTCCGACACGTTCTCGATCTGAAGCCAGCAGTTGTAGTTCAGCTTCTTGGCTCGAGCGGGAGAGAGAGGGCTGTCCATCCGTTCCCAGTGCACTTCTGGAGTTGGTCTTAATCAGAGGAAGCAATAGTTAGCAAAGCGACTGCTTGCTAGTCCAGTCAAATCAGCTCCTTCAGTGACTTTCTGAGCCCACTGATCCCTTTCCAGTGGTCAGACGAAGAATTGATGTGCGAGACCCATTCATATTTATAAAATGAACAATAATAAAACCACTAATTCATGCGAGAACCATTAATAGTTAAAACTTTGATGCATTGATGCAACTTTGAAACATTTCTCCTCTTCTCTAGCTTGATTCTTAATATTCCTGGCACTGTGTCCATGACATCAGCAGCATTATTATTATTTTAATACGTCTGTTTCTTCTTGGGTGATTATTGTCTCAATGTCCTGCAGTAAAATTGCGTAATGTACGGCTATCCATTATATACTGTATTACATATGTATAACAGGGGCAGAGCTACGGGTGGGCCCAGCTTGTCTACCCGGTCAGATGCATGGGAATATTTTAATATTTTATTTTTAATAATACAATTTTAAAAGTTTAAATTCTTCATTAATTATATGATTTGAGTCATTTGTTTCATAACAACTATAATAATAATAAAAATAATAATAATAAAATGCAAATTAGTCTCTTCAGTTACATTATGCTAGTAGTAAGTTATGTACTTCTTTTCGCCTATAACACAGTCTGTCTGGATTTGCGCTAGCAGCTCATTTCAATTAAAAATGGCTAAAAATCTAAACAGCTATCTATGACACTTTAGAAAAACATCTCTAGACAAAGTTTTATCTGAAGCTAAAGAAACTGAGAAATGACAGGATCATCAGTCAACTGAGAATGAAGGCGAAATGGACATGGTCTCAACATCTCGTGAGTCGGATAATATGCCCATATGAATGCTTCAGCCTTTAAGGAACCTCTCCCGCCAAAGGCTTTGGTAAATCTAAACTGTGCACCTTCGGATCTGTCAGCGAAAGAGGAACCAGCCACTCAACCGGTGTTTGGGAACATCTCTGATGGAAAATCACGCTCCTTCGGTTGTTATTGCTATGACAAGTTTAAGTGGATTGAATATAGCAAAACAAGAGATACCCTACTATTTTTTGTAAAGTATGCAGACATTTTCCTGAAGCACATAGTGAGTTTGCTTTCACTAAAGATTGGAGATCTCTGACAGGCCTGTAATAAACACGAGTCTAGCAAACCACATTTTAAGTGCGCTTTTTAAGTTTGATGCATACAGGGAAAGCAATGGAGCGCAAAGCCGTGGGACCATGTTAAATCAGAGCCGAACCAGCAACATGTTAAAGTTGTTTCAGACATTGTTATGTCATGTGCCAAGCTGGATATTCCCCTCAGAGGACACAGGGAAACAGAAGATGCATTCCTTAATAAAGGGAATTTCATGGAGCTATTTAAATTCATATCAAAATACATTCCAACAATTTAAAATAGACTAAAGGAACAAAACAATCACCCCTATGAGCCACCATGTTCATTGTGTAATGCTGGTTTATGTTGTAAGTGTTACCATTGTTGTGTTTCGTGTGTCGAGTATTGATGTCACATCTTTCAAAGATGTTTCTCAGCAGTTACTTCACTATTGTGAAAGATCCATCCACAAACATTTATGAATATGAAATAAGTTATTGATTAATCTTCATGCTTAAATAATGCTAAAATAAAATCTACATGTTCATGCTACAAATAGTTTGACTAACTTAAAGTCAGGCAATTCGATTGAGCCTGGTTTTGATTACTTTTATGTGACTGCTCAAGCTTTTTTTATTTAGTTTGGGGTAACAACCTCTACAGCTTTAAATGTCAGCGGAGACGATGTCAACTAGATGATCCCCAGAGACAGATCCCCAGTGAAGACCTCATCACCTCGACAACCATCGGCACCAGACAAGTCCTCTGCACCTGTGCTGCATCCAGGAATTAAACCACGCCATGCTGGTTTCGTCTGGCCAGAGGAGAACTGGCCCCCCGACTGAGCCTGGTTTCTCCCAAGGTTTTTTCTCCATTTCTGTCACCGATGGAGTTTTTGTTTCTTTGGCTTGCTTAGTTGGGGAAGCTTGACTGATTGCACAGACACTATTGAAGAGAGCTGAACTGAATGATGACATCACTGAATCATCAATGAACTGACTTTAGCTGAAAAATGACTCTTTGTTATTGTCTTCTTGCATTATTGACAATCTATTTTCCTGTTTGACACTGTAAAGCTGCTTTGACACAATCAGTATTGTATAAAGCGCTATACAAATAAAGGTAGCTTGACTTGACTTAAAATGTCAACAATTTAAAAGAATAGACCTATAAGAATGTATTAATAATCTTAAATTAATATATTTCCTAGCGGAGAGAGTGGTAGAGAACGCATTAAACTAGCAGCGTAATAGAGAATGTGAAGCTGACGTCACGCCGCGTTGAATTCTGGGAAGCTTTCTTTGCTTCATACTGGGAGGATCGCGCTGCCTTTCCGCTATTGAGTTTAGGGCAGTAGTTTGATTTTCTCTCGTGGCTGTGAAAAATTTCACCATTGTATGTCATTCTTGCTGCATTGAGAATTGCAATAGTAGCTCAGATAATCGTTCTGAGAGAAAACCGGACAATGCAATATGTTTTTCGCCTTTCCTATGTGTAAAAACACCAAGGGAAGCAGGTCGTGGAGATGACGAGAAGCCGCCAGATAGTAAATCTATTAATAATGTCACTGATTAAACCCACTGCCTATCACTCAATAAAAGAATCACATTGCCGGTGTTTTTGAAAGTTTTGATTTTGTTTGGTTTAATAATTAACATTGCCTTTTCGAGTATGAGTCTCACTCAGCTTGTGAATTAGCAGAACTTGAACAGAGACATTATACAACACTCAACACAAATAACGCTTAATGTGGCTTAATGTACCAAGACAGTGATAAAGACAAAACTATAAAGCATACTACTATGTGCAGACACGCATATGAGCCCAAAATGTGAACGCAACACGTTTATTTACAAGTGTTTTCCTCTCATATAAAAAAAATGCTTAATGCACTGAGACAGTGATGTTGTCACAGTACAGAAGGAGACCAGGGACGGAGAGGTAAAGTAAACAGAGAGCTTTATTGAACAGGTGCTGGGAGAGAGAGAGAGAGATGGAGAGCAAACGGGTTAGAGCAACAGTCTATGGAATGGAAGGGATCGGGCCCAGACCCTCTTGCTCTCTCGGAACCAGTGATTCACCGCTTGAACGTCTGCGGGTTCTCCCATCCACAGGAATAGGGGAGGTTGGTAACCGAGTACGCACTGAAACGGGGTGAGGCCGGTGGTTTGCTGTCGAAGGGAGTTTTGTGCGTACTCGGCCCAGGGAAGGTAGAGGCTCCAGCGGTTCTGGTTGTTGTGGCAGTAGCTACGGAGATATCTCCCGAACTCTTGGATCTTGCACTCAGTCTGGCCGTTGGACTGTGGATGATATCCGGAGGTGAGGCTTACTGATACGCCGAGGAGATGGAAGAAGGCCCTCCAGACCCGGGAGATATGATCTGGGTGACGATCATGGAAGTCACTGAGGAGTAAGTGATCTAGCACATCATCTCTACGAACCCATGTTCTCTCTTCGGGGCCGAATCCCTCCCAATCCACGAGATACTCTAGGCGGCCGCCTCGACGCCGGGAGTCCAGAAGTGAATTGACTCTGTAGATGGTCTCCTCTTCCCAGCGTGAGGGTAGGAGCGGTGCAGAAGGCTTCCTTCAATTCTTCAAAGCTCTGGAGGGAGGTGGGCATCCAGGACAGAGACTTGGGCTTATTACGGAGCATAGACATGAGACCTGTGTGCTGACTGAAATGGTGGATGAAACGGCGGTAGAAATGTGAGAATCCTAGAAAGCGTTGGAGTTCCTTAACGGTCTTGGGTTGTGGCCAGTGGTGAATGGCTTGGACTTTTTTGTCATCCATCTGGATGCCCTGAGGACTGATGACATATCCGAGGAACTTGACGGTGGTAAGGTGGAACTCGCACTTCTCCAGCTTGAGATAGAGGTGGAATTTTCTCAGCTGTTGAAGGACCTGCTCCATGTGGTGGCGATGTTCGGCCAGGTTCCGGGAGTAAATCAAGATGTTGTCGATATACACGATCACAGAATGATGGAGGAACTCCCGGAACACCTCGTTCATGAATCCCTGGAATACGGAAGGTGAGTTGGATAGGCCATATGGCATAACGCAGTATTCATAGTGTCCGGTGGGCGTGATGAAGGCGGTCTTCCACTCGTCACCATGGCGGATACGAACGAGGTTATAGGCGCTTCGCAGATCCAGCTTGGAGAAGATACGAGCTCCACGAAGTTCCTCGAGGGCGGCCGGCACCAGTGGAAGGGGATATGGATACTTCACGGTTTGTGAGTTGAGGGTCCGGTAATCAATACAAGGCCGCAAGCCTTCTTGCCCACAAAGAAGAAACTTGAAGCGGCCGGATGGCCGGATGGAGGGCCGGAGGTGGAGGGCCGGATGAAGCCTTGCTGGAGAGCCTCCTTAATATACTCCTCCATTGCTCCTTGCTCCGGGATGGACAAAGGGTACACCCTACCCTTAGGGAGTTGAGCTCCAGGCAGCAAATCTATGGCACAGTCCCACGGCCGATGAGGTGGTAGTTTCGTCGCGGCCCGCTTACTGAACACATCCTGGAACGCCCGGTATTCCCAGGGAATGCTGTGTGGTTCCGTGGGTTCAGGGCTCTCGATGGAGGTGGCACAGACAGGGAGGAAACCAGGTCACAGGGGAAGAACTTGGGACATACAGTGCTGCTGACAGTACTCACTCCAGTGAATAACTTCATAATAACTTCATAACGTTGGTGCTCCAGTTAATGATGGGTGCGTGTTGGGTTAACCAGGGGCGCCCCAGGATGATTTCCACTGTGGAATTCTCCAGCACCAGAAACGAGATGGTTTCCTCATGAAGGCACCCTATGCGGAGCGTGATGGTGGGGGAGTGCGAAGGGCCTGACTGTTACTTTCCCACATGGACTGGGCCCAGTGAAGAGCGCGGCCGGCGAGATGAGAGATCACGAAGGCCACCTTGGCGCGGTCATTGGGAAAGGCTTGTGACTGCATCTCAAAGTATAGGGAACATTGTAATAAGAAGCCACCACAATCTGCCGCCTCACCGGAGGAGATAGCGGGCCGTGCCATGGGACTGTGGGAGGCAGATACAACGGGCGTACGGATGGCGTGGATTAAATCCTCCAGTGATGGGGGGGTTCGGTGGTTGTGGCTCCATAAGTGGGTAAGTTGGGGTCTGGTCTTCTGTCACAGTACAGAAGGAGACCAGGGACGGAGAGGTAAAGTAAACAGAGAGCTTTATTGAACAGGTGCTGGGAGAGAGAGAGATGGAGAGCAAACGGGTTAGAGCAACAGTCTATGGAATGGAAGGGATCGGGCTCACGTGATGACGGGTTCCTTTGTGGATCGGGCTGAAGAGGATGGCACAGAGACAGGAAGGTATCAGGATGGAGTCCGGGTTCAGTGAGTCAGGTAAGGAGTAGCGTAGTGAACTCAAGACCAGACGAAGTGTGACTGCAGTGACTGTGCATTTAAGCTAGTGCTGATGAGGTGGTGACAGGTGCGGCTGATTAGTACTGCGGTGATTGTGAACGGGTGTGTGAGATGATTGGGCCTGACGAGGCTGGACTCTCCCTGACAGATGTTAAAAGACCACATTCTGTGCACACTTTACTAATAAAGGTCTTAATCCATAAAAGAGGTGGAAGTGCTTCTGGGTCTTTCGTCTGTTCTGTAGCCGGCAGGTCGTACGGGTCGATGTTGTTGATGTCAAGCAGTTTCTCTAAATAATGCTGCTTGGCGGTGTGATTTAGTCTCTCCTGATAGAGCCCCTTTCCTTTCGCTTTCTCCTCCATTTCTTCCCAAGAATGCAAACAAATATCAAGCTGTTCTCTCTCTGTTGCTCTTTCTCTTGCTCTCATAGTCACTGTCAAAGTAACCATTGCAATGGATAGCGTATCCTGCTAATATGGCGACGCCTTCCCAAAATGCAAAGTGGAGTGAAAACATTGTGACGTAACTCCTCATTCTCTATAGCAGCTGGCTAGACCCACCAGTCGGGATCACGGCCATTTGTCTCCTGTATTCAGGATAAACCTCCCTTAAACGTCGATTATACAAAAGAGTAGATTCATAAGAATACATTACTCATAATAAAACAATGAATTTCATTGCAGTAAGAGTGGTAGGGAACACGTTTAACCTGCAGCTCAATAGCAGCTGGCTGGACAGAAGCGGCCACAGCCATTAGACTACTTAAATATAAAATGTATATCATATTAAATAATAGATTCAAAAGAACATATTCACAATAATAAAATTATTCATTTCCTTGCAACAGGAGTGGTAAGGAACGCATAGCCTAGTCATACTCATAGCTTAATGAAGGCTGTCAGAGGAAGACATGAACGCAAATAAATATATTCATTTATTCAAAGTAATAAAAAAAATAATTTACAAATAAAATAAAAAATAAAAACCAAATGACTTCCTAATAGGTAGATCAGTCTTCAATCAGTAGTTGCCTAACTAGCTGGAGTGTCAGGCCAGCTGACCCGCCAGTGGATGGTGGCAGGTCATATGACCTGTCAGTGGCAGCTCCTGCCAGCCAGCTGAAGATTGAACCCCGACTCAAGTTCACCTGAAAGAAGCATTTTTGAAAGCAATTCCCATCGGCTCAAGTTGGTGCTTTGCACTGCTGCCAAAGTGTCTGGGGATGTGGCCAATAATACACAACGGCACGCTCAGTTCATCACGCTACAAAAGGAGATGAATCTGAACCACCAATGTATGGAACTGGAAATACCGTGCGAGACGAGATGGAGCTCAAAATCAGGGTCCATGCACAAAATATTTGATTTGCTGGATGTATTACTGAAGGCGTTAGCTGAATATGCCGAATCAAGTGATCAAACTAGAACTGTTTGAGAGCAGTGATTTTGTAACGAAAGGATAACAGAGTTAATCACTGTGGGTGACAGACTATATATTGTTGATTGAAAAACTGAAAGCTACTTATGCAGATTTCCAATGGTGACTTTGACAAAGTGCTCAAACTAACGGAGGAGTTAATGGCCAAGCATGACTGGGATGTCACTTCTTCTCATCAGAGCAATAAATTCAACGAGTCTGCCATCACCACAACACTAGGGAAAACATCCGTTGTCAAAAACAATGATTTAAGGGTATTGTGTGGATAATCCTGTATCCTGGACAGGCAGATAGCAGAGCTGAACTCTTTAAAGAGGATACATATGGAATCATGCGAGCTTCAGCATCCCTCTTAGCTGGATCCACCAGTTTTGGCCTGAAAGAACTGCTGAAAGCCCCATGCGATTTGTATGGTATTGTAGTCTGAGGTGATGAATACACAGTTTTCACTCAACACGTCAGAGGCAAAATTGATACAGGAATGGAAAATTCCCCTCACTGATTGAAGTACTGTAGCTGTACTGTAGCTGTCCTCATGACATTTTACCAAACACCAACAGTCTATTCAGGGCCATTTTAACTCTACCGATGACGTCCTGCTGCGTTGAGAGACTTTTCTCCGTAACAGTCCGGATCAAGACACGTCTGAGATCGTCAATGTTGACAAGACGCCATTACAATTTGATACTTTTGTCTTTTGAAAGAGAACTAACAGAAAACTTAGATTATGACAAAATGATCAACATCTTTCATTCCAAACCCAGATGACAGCGACTTGTTTAAACATCTTCATCGCTACAGACACCGCTCATTCAAGGTAAGTTAAAATGGTTTTCTTAGTCTGGCCCGCCATGGCAGGATATGCAGTATTTGTCATATATATTGCGTATATATTGCATATATTATTCAGGCCCACCCACAAACAACTTTCTGCATCCGCCTCTGATGTATAACAGACATTATAGGCTACAAATCTTTTCTTTCTACATTGTTACCTGTTTATTGGATTTATGTCTGCTATATGTTTAGCCATGTGTCTGTTTGTTATATTTGCACAAATGCTGTCTTAGTCTTGAGAAGAATAGCTCATAAACGCCACTGTATATTGGATATTGAATTCTGTTAAAATGTTAATTGACAGATTATTTTTGTTTTTGTCAGCTGAAGAGTGCATGCAGATGTTTTTGCTAGTAAATTCAGCGGCCATGAAATGACATTGGCTGAATACTCACAGGCCTTCTGGGATGCACTCTAGAGTCAGCGTTTGGCCCCTGAGCACCAGATAAGAACTGTGGGATCCCGCTGGCTTTTGCAGCTGGGGCCGCCGATTCTTCACCACAGAATTTGCTGTGAAAACCGAAGAACACAAGTGAACCCCACATGTAAGTTTTATTCATTTTCAGTGTATAAACAGAATCAGTGTATAGAAAGAAGAAGATTATTTCAGCATGAAAACTCCTCTGAACCATGTAATTTGTACATATGTAACCCTGAGGCTCCGTGTCATAGTCACACTTCCCTCCATGGCTGTGAATATTCAATAATAATAATAATTTTAAAAAGTAAATCTTACAAACGTCACATTCCCAAATGTACAATAAACTCATAGCACATGCAGAGACTTCACTCTGAAATCAGACTGTAAAATTATTTAAATAAATCACAGCCTTTGATAATCTCACAAAGCTATTCCATGATTAATTCAATCTAATTCATCAACTCATAAACTCCCGTTTGGGAAACCTTGCCGTAGGACAAAGTGAGGTTCGTAACGAAATGGTTTAGTATGACTGGTGTGAAAAACTTGACTGGCCTGCACAAAGACCTGAACCCTAGTGAAGATCTTCAGAATCAACTGGAAGGCTCACTTCAAACCAAGCATCACTGCACAGTTGCCCAGTACTGTACCTTACTGACACTATATTGTTTAAGAACAGTGACAAAAACAAGTCATTCCAAGGATTCGTACCAAATGTTGTTTCTGTGGAACAAGTGCTTACATATAATAACACAAAAGATGGCAGTCAGCAGCAATTGTGCAGGGTTTATTTAAGCCAAAAATGTGAGACTGGTCTATTTTGATTCCACTGGCCATTAAATTACACCCAATCTTCATATGTTAGTCATATTGGGCATCAGCCATATTACCCTAAATTTTGTCAAAAAACGCTGTTCTTTACAAACACACTGGTGTATCAGGTGAGAGCATCGCATGTGTCATCAGAGGAACGGATTGTCCATCAGGAGCACCAGGACCAAAGCCTGGACCCTATGAATTATGGACAAAGCTACTGTTTGACTTCTTCTTCTTTGTAAATACAGTATGTTCAGTTCTTTAAGTAAAAAAAAAAACTATAATTAAGAGATCTGTAAGTTTGTCAGAATCAATCCTGTTTAAAATCCTGTATAATTTCTGAGTTACATATTTTATTGTCATTTGTAGCAATACATTTAAAACTGCATTTGTATTATCTGTCCTTTAGCTATGTTATTTATTTATTTATTATTATTATTATTACATTTTAAGGGCATGATCCTCACCCCAAACTCCATGGCTCAAATAATTTTTATACCATGCTTACCATACCAAAAGTTATCAAATCATTCTTATGTAAATCATCAACAAATTTAATGGAAAGATTACAAAAAGGATTTGCTATTTAGTATCCAAAAGCTATAGAATGCTATTTAGTATCCATAATTTTGCCATTGCAATGCTTGGACGAAGTAATTGCTGATGGCAGTTTTATATATTTTTTTCAACCTCTTTTAATTTTGTTGTTAACATCTCTTTGACCGTAGACTGTAAAAAAAGTTGGACGATGCCTCTCCACTTCCTTCCACTATAGAAAAGTGAAGCCAAAACATCCCAGTATGGCCGCTGTCACTTGCACCAGTGACATAATTTGGAGCCTGAGTCAGTAGTGATTTATTTGGAGGCCGAGTCTGCGCAGTAGTGATTCATTTGGAGGCCGAGTCTGCGCAGTAGTGATTCATTTGGAGCTTGAGTCTGCACAGTAGTGATTCATTTGGAGAC